ATGCTAGTCACCATCCACCAATTAAAAACTTCTATGCAATTGGGTTGGTTTTATTAACTTTGAGCTATAAAACTTTGAAATATTACTACCTTTATAATGTAATCTAGGAAGGATCACAGTCAAAATAAGCTGCACTTTGTTGACAGTCCGGAAAACCTAATGTCAGTAGTGAATATTTTTTTATTCCAATGAGTCGTTATGGTGCTTCCCAAATAAATGCCATTGTGGTGACAGCTGGCTGCAAGCCAAAATTGTAGACAACAATTTACGTCAATGTTCACGTCGCGAATCAGAGTCACGATAAAAACACTAACAAAGCTTAACCTTAGAAAAGAAATCACCAGCCAATCACAGCGGAGTTAAAGTGTGGAAATATGATTCGCAGATACACGGCTTGATTTTCTGAGAAATGGCCACAAAGAGATAACAGAATAACCTTCAGCAAGAAAACAACCAATCAGAGGAGGTTGCTTCTCTGCTAACAGTTATGTACATAAAAATTTATAAATACCTCTTGATTTTCCCAGTAAATGATTTGTTGCCTGACCCTTGTCTTCTGTTGTTACAACATTAATGGATGTCAGTAAACACCTTATTACGCAAAAACAAAGAATTCAGCGAAGAAAATTCTCTTTTCGACGATTTCATTTTCAAAGCTGTACAATCGTATATATGAATTACTATAAACAATAACAATCAGTTTTCTTGCGTGTTAAAATTTGACTGTGAGTGGAAATACTAAAGTGCTATAATAATAGTGGCGTGTAGGATTATTAGTCACAATTGATTAGGTATATGAATGAATAGCTAAATAAATAGAATTCAACCTAAAGTTCAACAAACAAGTGTGAAATAGATGATAGGGAAGTAAAGTACGTTCGGAAATGTGAATATAATATGATGGAAACATGGGATGAGTGAAATGTTGTCAAATTAGTAGACTAGATAAAATGTTAGAATATGATAACATAAAGTGAAATAAAATAAAAGGAAAATGAAACATGGAATAAAGAAGGATAATAAATGTATTATGTGAATTACATAGTAAAATCAAGACCATGGTAACGAAAGAGATCGTACAAATTGTTTTTGTACACAAAGTTCTGGCTTTATGTTATGTATTGCCAAAGCCTCTGCTATGCAAAGCAAATGCACTCGTGTTCTTTTCGACAAACTATGTAGACTACATTACAATATGTGTCAGATGCTGCCTGGTCAGTATCTACAGTTTGTCGCACAGTCGATGAATTAATACCTCTACGTTCTCTTTTGCTCAACCAAATTGGGAGGTACTGTCGAACGCGGTGGGACATGTTTCTTGATGAACGTCCTAGGTACCTAGCTCCGCAACAGCAGATGAACGTATAAATAAACGTGAAATTAGACAATCGACGTAACATTTTCTTGACATTAAGGTGTACTAGGGGACGGCTAGAGTAAGTTATTCGTAAAGTGGTAGCAAAGAACGTTTTCCTCAATGATCTCATCGGACGATTTTTAAATACCTCACTCACAGTGTCACCCCTGAATTCTAAGTTTAGGTGCTTGTAAGTTTCCCTTATTAGTCTAATTTTATAAGGTGCTGACTGTTTAATTAATTGAAGAATTACATATTAATTTAACAAAGCAGATATCCTTTGGCATTTCACTCACAAGCATAGTTTACCTCCTAAAAAATTCCATAGGATAATAACTTTACTAGAGTTAACTTTCGTTATGGATAGAATATAATGTGACAATCTAACTTTGACTACTGAAATGAGGAATTACTGTTTGAATCTGGAAGTGTCAGTCTCTTCCCTCTTGTAACTGGCTGTTACCAGTATAAAAGTCAATTTTTTAACAACCTCATACGATTTATTCAAAGCACTCGTCATCCAGCACCAAATTTGATTTATACAGTCATTTATTCTAATCGTTGTGATCTCGAACAGTAAATGTAAGTCCTACATAATTTTGAATATCTTTTTGTGAAAAATTTACTTTAAGAAACTTTAAAACAAATTCCTTTCGTTTGTATTATGGGGTTAACATTAGTTTCAGCAAGGTGATCTAACGTACGGGGGCTAAAACGAACAATATGAGAACCTGAATTCCAAGTTTTGAACTACAATTCAGCTACTACTATCAAACGTAATCATATAAGCATCATCTAAGCCATGTAGATGTTCACTTTTCAATCTGAAATCACAATATACATGCATTATACAGAATTGTGTATAGTTGCTCGCAACTAAAATCTTAATAGTTATATTTTAATGGCTAACAGTTCACAGACACACTAACGAACAGGTGGTAAAAACAGCAAGATAAGCTTAGCATAAGATAGAGATTTCTATCTGTTAAGCAATACATCACCATTTTATCTCCATCAAAAATGTTAGGAGTGATAATAATAATAATAATAATAATAATAATAATAATAATAATAATAATGACCAATATATTTAGGAATAATGTGATGAAGTCACTTAGAATATTTACTTTTGTGCATTGAAATCACTAGAGATAAAAGGAACTATGACTTTTAAGTCAAATGATATCACCCGATAAGAAAGGCCTTTTTTCTTATCAATGATTTCGGTGACATAACCGAAGTCACACTGAAAATCCTACTGTGCAGTGCTAACAACATAGTTTAAAACAACAGAGGATAAAACTGTGAAAATCGAGGTTTACAAGTGTTGGTTTGTAGGGATTTGATGGATTGAACCCCCCAGTGAATGCTTGCTGATGAAGAGTCCCAAACTGGGGTGATGAAACAGCTGTCCAGTATTCTCAGGTTTTCCAATGGTTCTCTAACCGATGTGGGCTTATGATGAAATCTTTTAATTAAGGTTTTATCTCTAAAGTAAAGAGATTCCGTACTTACTTACTTGCTAGATCACTGTAACACTCTAGGTTTCGTAATTTAAACGTCAACTAGCTTAAAATGTGCGAAAAAAAGATTATGTACAGAATATAATGACCATGAAGATAAAACAGGTAGAACAGAAAGAAACCTCTAAGTATATTTTATGCCCCAAAAAGACGCATCAACAAAGTCGAGACAGAAATATGTAGTAAGCTATTTCCTCAGAAGCCAGGGTAGGAACGAAAGCAAATTCCAGTGATCTGTTGTATCTTTTCATCAAATAACCAATTTTACAGTTTTGTTTGCACCTTTAAGAACTTTAGCAAACAGTATAAAAGTTATCACAAGAAAAACGTACTATATAAACATTGAGCTCAATTCTAAACAAATTCTTTACATTTTGAAATAGTCATTCGAAAGAAGTAATAGTTGACTCAGTGAAAAAATCCAAGGGAAACTTAGAGACGAAGTTAATGAACAGCAAAACTTAAATTGAAGAAAAAACCTGAGGTTTACAATTTGTGAATAATTCCCATTCGGACATTAGTAGACAAAAGACAAGTAGTTCAGCAAAGAGTCTCTTTTCGGCGAATTCATTTTCAAAGCTGTACAATCGCAAATATATATGGTTATTTTGTGTGTGTGTATACATTAAATTTGTCAAACAAAATACGGTTAGTAAGTTC